GAGGCTAGCCTGGGCTATATGAGACCTGCCTCAAAAGTAAATAAATAATACCATCAGTTTTGAGTTTCTTGTTTGTTTGCTTGTTTGTTTTGTTTTTCGAGATAGGGTTTCTCTGTGAAGCTTTGGAGCCTATCCTGGCACTCTCTCTGTGGACCAGGCTGTCCTCGAACTCACAGAGATCCGCCTGCCTCTGCCTCCCAAGTGCTGGGATTAAAGGCGTGCTCCAACAATGCCCGGCCCAGTTTTGAGTTTCTTAAGCAAGAACACCATAATAAAACTCATGTTTCTATCCAACATTTCATACAGAGACTATAATCTAGCACGCGATTGGCATTCCAAGGCCTCAATAGCCTATGGGTACAGGAGACGTCACATTACCACAAACAACTCCAGAAGCTATGTCTACCTAAAAGAGATCAGGGCCTGCTTGGCTGCACGCAGGGCCCCCAAATGTCCCTATGGGGGTGCCCTATGGCTGTCTTGCCCTAACCAATCTCTCCTGTCCAGGCTGGCTGTTGTGAGAGTAGCCTGTCCTATCAGAGCCTTGGAAGCATTACAGCTGCACTGAGCTTTATTGGGGGGCGGGGGGGGGGCAGGAGCTCTATACCCCACCCCTGTGACTTCAGTACAGAAACTACCTTTTGCCCTTCAGCCTAGCTCCAACAGGATGGCCTAAAAGGCAGGGATTGCATCCTAGTATAGAGTAGAGCGGCTCTTACAACCAGGAACAAGTGCAGTGTGGTCATTGTTCTAGAAACTTAACAAGCAGAGCCCTGCGTTGTGCATTATTATGAGGCAGGGACAACTTGGAAAGTGGGCAGGTATCTTCCGAGGGAGCAGTTTCACTATTAAATGCCTCATTACTGTTGAGACAATACATTTCTCAGTTACACTCCTGTATTTAGCAGATACATGAGTCGCTTGATCATTACCACAAGCAATGTGGGCTCCCCCTTCTCCAACTGACTGAACTATTGCAAGCAGCCAGGACAAATGTCCCCTGCAAATGAGGGATATAATAATGTCTGATGGCATTGTCTGTTTGCTCTATTTCCTCCATTTTGGTCATCTCCCATGGCTCACAACATCCCCGTGGAAGCACCTCCAACTGGTTCTCCGTCCTGCCCGGGTCATCATTAACACCATCAGATAGCGGATTTGTGGGAAGTACGCCAATAGCCTGCTACCAGTGTTTAGACATGGGGATGTCTTGGTTCTCCCAGGCTGGAACTCTTCTGTAAGAGGCTGCGAAAGCTTGAAGGGGAGAACAAACTCCTGAGAATCATCCTCTGATCTCCATACGTTCACCATGGCACATGCTCGCACCCATGCACATGCGTGTACACACACACAACAATAATAAACAAAAATGTAAAAATATTAAGCATAAGCCAGGGGTAAATTGGTAAATTAACAAAGTTAGAAAGTATCTCAGCAAGCCCTTATTAAACTCTATGTAGTGGATCCAAAGTATGGGGCTGGAGTGGGTGGGTCAGTGGGTTAGAGCACTTCCTGCTCTTCTAGAGGACCTAGGCTTAATTCCCAGCGCCCGCATGATGGCTTACAACCATCAGTAACCCCAGTCTCAAGGGCATCCAAGGGCACCAGGCATGTATATGGTGCACAGACACACATGCAGGCAAAACGCCCATACACATTAAATAAATAAATAAAATATTAAAAAGAAAAAGCAAATGAAACTACCACACACACACCCCACATACAGAAATGCCTTGCTATGTCAATCCAAAATGGCGTCGCATCACGACAAGACCTAAGTTATTTTCCCTGGGTCACGGTTATAGCTGGCTCCATTCAGGTCAGAACTGCTCCAATGCCACTTGAGCTGAATCCAGAATGGCAGTCTTCACAACCAAGACTGTGCTGGCCCGGCTCCTCCGGAAAACACTCAAGAGGCCACAAAGTCCCTCTGGTTTTCCTTCCCCCAGTGGCCAAATGCCTGTTTACATTAGCTGTTTATATTAGCTGGCCTTCCTAGAGTCATCTCTGGTTAAACTGCTGACTCGTGGTGAGCCAACAGAACAATTAACATGGACCAAACCTCTACATCCTTCTAGAAGGAAATGGATGAGCAAACTGTGGTGCCTGTGACAACGGAATGGTAACCCTGGGAAGTAGAAATGGGCATCAAGCCTCAAGAGTGCCAACAGGAGGGCGGTCCCCTGAGTGTGCGTGGTTATGTCATGCAATGGCAGTCTGGAAAGGCTTACGCGTAGTACTTTGTAATTATGAGTGCTTGTGTGAAATGTGTACCCCAATGAAGGTGCCCAAGGAGGCCAGAGAACATGTTGAATCTCCTGGAACTGGAAGACGCATCGTGTGTGTGTGTGTGTGTGTGTGTGTGTGTGTGTGTGTGTGTGTGTGTGTGTGTGTGTGTCTACACCAAGGCAGGGCGCTCCCTTCTGTGTGAGTATGATGTGGCTGCTTTGTCCGTTCTGAGACTGATGGTTGGATGCTAAAGGTGTATCAAGCTTTGAGATACCTGGAGTTTTATGTAGAAGTCTGGATGTTAGGTCAGATGAAGAAATTGACTAGAAAGATGACTATGGATAGCCCAAGGAACTACAACACTCTTTCGCCTACAATGTTTTAGTTAGCCAACACCAAAGAGTCTGTGGCATCTTTAGAATAAATAAATGTAGCTTCTTCCATTTAGTTTACTGCTGACACTTGTATTTCGTTTAAAAGACTATATTCTCCAGGTCTCAATGGGATTTCAATGTGGGAGGGAAACGTTAGAAAATGCCACAGTGTGAGTTGGACTTGTCTGTGATATTTACCTAAAGTTTGTCATCCTATTGATTAATTTATTGGGTCCTCAGATACAATCAGCTTTGCTAAGATATCCGTATCACCATCAAATCCTTAGACATAGAGCCTCAACCTTGGCTCGGTCTCTCTTGAATATGTTAAGTTGTATACACACTGCAACCTTAACAATGCAGACTACGAAGTGGGCTGTGTCCCCTTTTAGTCAGCTTCCACAGACAACAATTGAGTTCCTCTCTGTGCTGTTCTGGGGATACACTGGAGATGCTTCAGGTATACACCAGGCTGTCACTGTCACTGTGGACATCCTTGGGGTCAAGGCTTCAATCTTGGGATTGAAATTTTTGTCCTAGGTCATGTTGGTAAATGGGGTATAGTGTTTCTATGATCTGGGACTTCTCAAATCAGCTGAGTATTCCAGTTACACCCAAACATTATTAATGACAATTATCTCTGAACTCAAAATATGAACTACTTTTCTTCTCTTACAAGTCCTGCAAAGTCTTTTGTTTGCTCTGATATCCTTTTTCCTTTTTATAGAGGGCATGCATTAGTTTTATAATATCAACAAAGGAAAAGTCAAGAACATTTGTACATGATTGCTGGAGAATTATAAATATGGAGGTGTGATGGGGAAGTCCTGTGTATATGTCAATAAAGCACTGTTGGCCAATAGGGAGCCAAGATAGGTGGGACTAGGAGTCCAGGAGGACTCTGGGAAGGAGAAACACAGAAAGTCAAGATGTAACTGCCATGGAGTAGGAAGACCGGAAACTTCTCCGGTAAGAGAAATACTTAGATTAACAATTATGGGATAAATACTTAAGTCAGAGCTAGCCAGTAAGAAACAAGCAAGGCCAACAGCTTCATATTAATATAGCCTCCTGTGTGTTTATTTGGGACTCATGTGGCTCTGGAACCAGGCTGGCGGGAAGGCTTCTCTTTACAGAGGTGAGATAATATGTATTATCCTATAAATGGCAGAAGAGAAAATTCCCATTTAGAGAAAGATATCAATTTGGACCCAGACCTCACAAATTTCCTTTTGGCATATACCCCCACTTCTAAAGATCTAGCCCAAGGCCATTGTGTCCAATGCCTCACTGCAATGATAGACCTTGACTATTATTTATACATAATAGAGACCAGTTGGAAATCAAGCAGCTATCCGAGAGTAGTAGAAATGGCAGAGTGAATGATCACACAATAGAGTACAATAGTACATGTTTGGCATGAAAGCACTTCTAAAATGATTTACACTAAATGTGTAGAAAAGCTTGTCTTACGGTGTCTACTTGGAAAATGTGAGTGTAGTAGATAAAAACTAATCCATTCGGAGAAAACAGATCTGAGGGACCCGCACTGGGTACCCATGTCTCGAGTCACCGGAATAAGGTGCTTTACGGCCCTATCTTATGATTGTCTTTCTTTTCCACATTTTCCTTAGTGATATATAATATTTGTAATCACAAAAGACTGTGGTTTTTTTTAAATGTAAGCACAAAGTTTAAAAGCTCATTATAAACATAGCTGGTCAAATCTCAAATGAAAGAGAGGAAAAATATTACCAAAGAAAGGGTCCTGACCTGGTGGTTAACAGGGGAAATTTGTTTTTCCACAATATTCCAGCAGTTAGATGAGTAAAATTGAAAAAAAAAAGACAGAAAACAAATACTTCCAAAACACTATAGTCTTGCTCCAAGCCCCCTCCCCTGCCTCCTGCCTCCTCTCTCTCTCTCCCTCCCTCTCTCACTGTCTCTCTCCCTCCCTCTCTCTCTGTCTCTCTCTGTCTCTCTGTCTCTCTCCCTCCTGCAACAACACCTGAACACCTGCCCATCTGTCTTTTAATTTCACACTAGCATCCTGTTGTATTTTTGTAACTGTCAATAGTTGTCTCAAAATAATTTATGTAAGCCTCCTCATTTTGCCTCTGAAAATGTCTACATGCTTGGCCTCTTGCAACGCTACTCTCCACGCAATGTCTAGTCCCAAAAATGCAGCAGCATATTTTGAAGGACCTTTCACCTCTTGTAATTTAGGCTCATAACCCTCTAAGTAACGCTCCCAAAGTACTTCACCCTGCACCAGGGACACCTCCCAGCAGGTTGTGATTAATCTTCATTCACTCTCTTCAGTCTTACAAGAGACCAGAATAAACTTCCTGTGCAGTGACTGTCCCTGGGTGTGGCTGCTTGCTCATGCTGTAAGGGCCCGCCTCTTCATCCAAGACATAAAGTCGCCACCAGCCTCCTTAGCCGGCACACGGACATCTGCTCTCTCCGGAAGCTTTTGGCAGCCACCATGTCCACCTTCGTGGAGCTCAGTACCAAAGCCAAGATGCCCATCGTGGGCCTGGGCACCTGGCAGGTGAGTGGGCCGCCGTCTGGGGGCACCTGCAGCCTTCCAGGACGGTCTCTGCATTCCCTTCTCTTTCCACAGCATCAGCTGAGGTTTTGGAATCCTAGAGCGGGGACCCAAGCTGCTTTTGTGCTTTTACACCGCTTTAGGCTCAAAGCTCTGACAGGCTTTCCCCAGCAGTGATGGTAGCTTCTCTAATAAATGTCAGGTTCCAAGCGGTCCCTGGACTTCAAGAACAAAAGGCTCCAGGCAGTTACTCTCCCAGCAAGCTTGTGAACGTACGAGACGCCCAACATTTTATAGTTTTTTGTGTTTTTTTTTTTTTTTTTTTTTTGAGACAGGGTTTCTCTGTGGCTTTGCCTGGAACTCTGTAGACCAGGCTGGCCTGGAACTCACAGAGATCCGCCTGCCTCTGCCTCCCAAGTGCTGGGATTAAAGGCGTGCGCCACTACCGCCCGGCCCCATTTTATAGGTTTCGACTGTCTTTTCCTGCTGAGTCATTCAAACACTTCAAATGACCAAGCTCTCCTTGCTGCCCACGGGGAAGGACTCCATCGGCAGCATCTGGCCTGGAGCCTGAAAGGCAGAGTCTCAGGCCCCAGCCCAGGCTACTGAACTGGCCTCTACCCTTTACCAAGACTCCGCCTGGTTCCAGTGCACAGTAAACTCTAAGCACGAAGACCGCGGAACTTGGGCTCAGGTCCTGCCTGGCAGTCTTATTGTCCTGGCAGAATGCTCCCATGCCCATCCCACTTTCCAGGAAAGCATATTCCCCAGCCTCTGTTGAGACAAGCGTGAGAACTGTACCATCACCTAACTCTCCCTCTGCATTTCCCTTGGGGGTAACATGACAGTGGCCAGCTTGTTTCCAGGAGTTCTCTATTTGATTTCTGGAGCCAGGGAATTTAGGTTGCCCTAAAACTAACCCTGTAGTTTAGGTTGGTCTTCAACTTGCAATCCTTCTGCCTCGGCCTCCAGGCATTAGTACAGGTGTGGGTTACCGCCAGGAGTTGTTTTTGGAGCCCATGTCTCCTGTTCTGGTGGTTAGCCACTGCCTCTGTCTCTTACTCTCTGCGCTGCCCTTTAATCTGTGGTGGGGCAGAGGCAGCACACCTCTTCATTTCAGCACTGGGTTGAAAAAGTACTTGAATTGGCGCCAGAATAGAAACTTCACTTTCTACCAATCTGACAAGCATTCTTACCTGAAGTAACTCTCAGAAATTCAAAATTAGACAGAGAGCTGGACAAGGGAGTTGGTTTTTTTTTTTTTTCAGATAAGGAGTCTGCCCTTATCTGTAGAAACTCAGGCAGGTATGGAATGGGGGGCAGGGCAGGTAATTCTGAACTGCTAGAGGCCATTTCTTGTCCTAGGGAAGCAAACCATTTATCTCTATGGTACTTTTCTAGGTTTGATTCTTAACCAAGGCATTTCTAGGGTTGATGAGAAAGGGTATTTTTTTTGTTGTTTGGTTTCTTTTTCTTTGGTTGATTGATGGCTTTTTTGTATCTATTCTTTATTTTGGGGGTAACCATGTACCCCAGGCTGCCTTCAAACTCACAGTCCCTTGCCTCTTAATTTCTCAAATGCTTAGATTACACACACATGGGCTGCCACACACAGTGGTTTGGCTTTCTTTCTTTTTTTAAAAAAAAAACTAGTTTATTTAAATTTATTTTATGTGCATTTGTGTGAAGGTGTCAGAACTCTTAGAACTGGAGTTACAGACCGTAGTGAGCTGCCATGTGGTTGCTGGGAATTGAACCGGGGTCCTCTGGAAGAACAGCCAGTACCCTTAACTGCTGAGTCATCTCTCCAGCCCCTTAGATTTCTTTCTTTCTTTCTTTCTTTCTTTCTTTTTTTTTTTTTTTGTTTTTTCGAGGCAGGGTTTCTCTGTATTGTTTTGGAGGCTGTCCTGGAACTCGCTTTGTAGACCAGGATGGCCTCGAACTCACAGAGATCCGCCTGCCTCTGCCTCCCAAGTGCTGGGATTAAAGGTGTGCACCACCAACGCCCGGCTCTTTCTTTCTTTTTCTTTTCTTTTCTTTTTTTTTAAGCTTATTGTATTCCATCCATTTACACTGCTGTGTGGCAGTGTCTGAATTTATCATACAACGACCATTCTCCACATTCTTAATTAACATGGTCTGGGGCTGAAATTCTTCTGGGTCGCTTCAGAGTTGAGTTTGACCTTTAGCAAGTTGCAGCCAGAGCCATCTGTCACCTCAGAAACAAGTGATCCTTTAGGACCTTGTGGATTTGACGGGAACTGACTTTTACCTGAGAGCGGATGGATGAACATTATGGTTCACTTTTACTTCTCCTTTGGAAGTTTGTTTTCTTCCCCAGCAATGCTGTGGTTTTCAGAAGCTGGGCTGTGTGGAGCCTGCTGAGGAAGACCTTGGCATAACATCATCCAACGGCCTTTCCTGTTGCCTCTCAGTCTCCCCCAGGCCAAGTCAAGGAAGCCGTGAAGGCGGCCATTGATGCTGGATATCGCCACATTGACTGTGCGTACGCCTATCAGAATGAGAGTGAAGTAGGGGAAGCCATCCAAGAGAAGATCAAAGAGAAGGCTGTGAAGCGGGAGGACCTCTTCATCGTCAGCAAGGTACGGTGGCCGGCTTGGTGGATAGGACTTCAAAGCCAGTGGAAGAATCTGGTCCACACCAAGAGCCCTGTCCGTCATTCCCCTAACCCCCTTCCTTGGTTTTGTTACGTCTGTGGGTGTGAATAGCCACACTCCAAGTCAGTACTGATAAGGGTCTTCTGTTGGCCAACCCTCCTCTGTTAGCTTTCTCATAACAAGATGGTTCTGTCGAGGTTCCAATGCCCTTCACTGCCATACTTTCCGTCGGTGGGATCCTTCTACCTAGTCAGACGCTGGGGGCGCCATCAAGGGTCTTGGGGCCTAAGTGTGCACGTTGCTCCTTCAGAGGGCCATAATTTGGTCTCCAGCACCAACATTAGGTGACTTACAACTCCTGTAACTCAAACTCCAAAGGAGCCCAAACCCTCTTCTGGCCCCTACAGGCACCCACTCACATACATGTGTACGTACACATGTGCACATAAATAATAAATATTTTTTAGAGGGATGGGTCCTGAGTACTGTGTTCTCAGTGGCTATGTAGAGAGAGCTTTTTTTTTTTTTTAAGAATTGCTATTTAGGGATTTCTTTTTATCTCAATTCAGTAAAGGGTGAGATATAAAATGCTATAAAAAAAAGGAAAGGAATGGGGAGAGGGGAGTGTGAGGTTGTTGACTGGATTTAGCTAGCTGGGGTACTCTGATACCCACTTGGGAACGTCATCTGATATGATAAAGAGACTCACTGTACAATGTGGCAGGCCACCAGTGAACGGTTCAGGCATCACGCTGGCCTGCCCCTGTTACCTGGCAGAATGCACTCAGGCAGTTCTCTGGCCAGCCCAGAGTTCCATGAGTACAGTCTGCACGCAGGTGCGAAGGACCCCTTTAAAAGACGGACCCCTGCTGTTGGTGGCACACGCCTTTAATCCCAGCACTCGGGAGGCAGAGGCAGGCGGATCTCTGTGAGTTCGAGGACAGCCTGGTCTACAAAGTGAGTTCCAGGACAGCCTCCAAAGCCACAGAGAAACCCTGTCTGGAAAAACCAAAAAAAGAAAAAAAAAAAAAAAGACAGACCCCTGCTCTCTTTCCTCTCTTACCTCTTCTTCGCTGCCCCCTCTCTCTTCTCCTCTCTCTCACGCTGCTTCTTCACTTTTCCTTTACCCCTTATTATTCTTCTCCCTGTCTCTCTGTCTCTGTCTCTCTGTCTGTCTGTCTGTCTGTCTGTCTGTCTGTCTGTCTGTCTGTCTGTCTCTCTCCTCCTTTCTCAGGTCTTTGTCCTCTCTATGGCTTCTGTTCCATTGCACCGGTCCCGGCTCCATCGAGCGGCCCCTTTTACCTTTTTCTAATTTTTAAACTTTTACAAAATGTCAACAGCAACCTAAACTGTTTGTGATTCACCATGAGGGCCTGGTGTCTTGGAGATTTGGGACTGTATATGCCCCAGTAGCACACAGAATGCTGTAAGCCTGGAAAAAAAAATAAATCACCCTCAACACTTAGGAAATAAATGACTCATTGAGCCCTAGGGACCTCAAATATCAGATCATGTATGTTAATTAGCCAGTTTGGTTAAATATAGACAGCTGTGCTGGGGTTGGATCAGACTGTAAATCTCAGAGCAGGAAGGGCTTAGCTCCGTGTGGCCCTTTCTCTCCAGTCCCTCATGTTTCCTTGTGACCCTCCGCAGCTGTGGTCCACCTGCTTTGAGAGAAAGCTGCTAAAGGAGGCCTTCCAGAAGACCCTCACCGACCTGAAACTGGACTATCTGGACCTCTATCTTATTCACTGGCCACAGGGACTTCAGGTTTGAACTGCCCTCTGTACCTTCTAGAGCCTCCAAGACAGGGCTGGACAGCGGGGGAGAGGCCTGGTCAACTTCCTCTTGATGCCACATCCTATGATGCCCTTTCAAAAGATGGCTTGGGCTATTCTTGAATGTTGTGTTTCAGGGTTCAACACCTTTGCCGAGCAAATCGTGCCTAGGGAGCGGCTTCCCAGAGCAAAGTCCAAGTAGGGCAATGTTGGGAAGTATTAAATCCCTGCTAAAAAACCAAACCAAACAACAACAACAAAAAAACACCCCCAAACCAAAACAACAAAGCCACTGCTCAGTGCCTGGAACCCTGCTTCTGCTTGCTGCTGAGAGGTTGAACACCCAGTAGGCTCCCCTCATTCGTGCACAGCTGGGGTGATGGTAACCGTCCAAGCTCTGGACTTCTGGAGGAGTCAAGGATAGGTTCTGGTTACAGTCTTCAGCAAACTTTACCATTCAGATCTAGCTCTACACTCGTGACTTTGAAATGAAAATTTCCTCCAGGTCTATGTGGGCCCAGGTATGCTGCACTTATTGTCATGGCGGTGACATTACTGATCGAGTCTTTGCCATAGAGTAGTACATTTGGGAACCAGCCCAGCAATTTCTGTAAGTTAGGAATTGCCTACCACAGTAGGTTGGGATAGAATTGCTGCAGAAGCTTGGTGTCTAACCAAGTGCTAGCCAGGTGTGGGTATTTGGTATTTCACTGTCCTGGAGCCTTGCTTAATAGGACCAGGTGCAGCCAAAGAGCGTTTTGTTTTGTATTTACAGCCTGGAAAGGAGTTATTCCCCAAAGACGATCAAGGCAACATCCTCACCAGCAAAATAACGTTCCTGGATGCCTGGGAGGTAGGTTCCCAGCTTCTATTATGCAATAGAGACTTTGTCATATGGTATGAAAAGGCCCACGTGTCTTGTGTGTAATTCTGTCTCTGTTTTTCTAGAGCTCTTACTCCCTCTTTACCATGTTTGAATTTAGGGTTCATCTGGCATAATATACTTTTTTTTTGATATGGTTCCACAGTATATCCCTGGCTAGCCTGGAACTCACAGAGATCCATTGGCCATTGGCCTCTATCTCCTAGGTTTGGGGATTATATCATTTGTTTTTGAGGTAACTATTAGGATCTCAATGGAGACAGGAAATACAAATGTTCCTCAGTTTGTGGTAAACATATGCTGTTTTGAAAGTAAGGGTAGGCACTTGGTAAAGGGATGTTGCCTTGATTTGCACATAATAGCTGAGTAGCCCAGGGAACATTATTATTATTATTATTATTATTATTAATTTTGGGTTTCAAGACAGGGTTTATTTGTGCAGCCCTGAGTGTCCTAGAACTCACTTGACAACTGCCTACCTCTGCCTCCCAGGGCTCTGATTAAAAGCGTGCACCACCACACCCAGCTAGCCTAGGGAAAAGATGGAATGCCTTCAAGCCAGTATACGCAGAGACGAACACCAAAGAGACCCTGCCTCACAGAAGGTGGAGGTTGAGGAACAATACCCAGGTTGTCCTTTGACCTTGGCATGCTGCTGTGGTGTGTGCTCCTGCACTCACACAGGCGCAGGCGCATAAACGTGCACACACTCACATAATACATTCTCCTGATCTCTATCCTTCAGGATGGGATAAGCATGAAGAGAGCCAACATTCAAAGCTTCATCACGGCCCCTTAGTTAGCAGTCCTGTGAGGGAATGTTACTTTCCCATGTACAAATAGTGAGACCAATAGCCTGGAGAACCGGGACCTCATCAGGTTACACAACAGGGGTGTGGCACAATTAAGATTAGATTCAGTTCGGAAGTCCAGTTACCAAAACCTTTAGCACAGTGCTTGGCAACCAGTGGACGTATATAGAAACATCAGAAAACTAACAAGCACCTTGACGTTTAAAACCAAACAATTCACTCTATCAGTTGTGTTCCTTTGGAGAACCCAGACCAATGCTTGGTATGCATAACGAATGTTCAAAAGTTAAATAAGCCATGGATGCTTTTCTCTAAAAATCTTCCTTTCCACACTGATGCTCAGGGTTATGCCAAACGTCAAATGAGATCAAGCGGCCTCATTGTGAAGGCTGCTGGCTCACTGACAGATGCACACTGTGGACTTGTATTCTGCAAACTCCTTCCTAGGCAGGAACTTGTAATAAATGAATTATAAGTACATGTTGAGTTTGTGGCTGCCAGCATCAGGTATGATATCTGTGGCGCAAGTCTAATGTATCGGGCAAAAGCCGTTTGTGCTAAGAGAATGCATGTGTGTGTGTGGGGGGATGTACATGCATGTGCATGCATGCTTTCGTATTTATTGCAAGCAGGGAGCAGCCTTACATACAGACTTACAGCACAGTGGAGAAACCCCAGTGTAAAAGTTCATGTTTTCATAATTAGAGGTTGACGCCAGTGGGGCAAGGCCGGGGCTGTAAGTCAGGACTAGAAAACAGGATGCACCTATGGTTATTGGCTGACAAGCAACTCACAGAGACCCCGTGGGGGCTGGGGCCCAACAGGTATCTTGACAAATTTGTGAATTGTTCATTCTGGGCAAGAAGTTACTTTTAGAAATATCCTTTCTTAGGGTTAACACACAGTCATGGTTGTGGTAAGTTATCAGTTGGCCAGATGCCAGGGCCACCTAACCCTAGGTTGAGTACCCCGCCAGGGTCTGATAAGTCTGCATGTCTCCCCATTGGAAAACAATCTAAATGGCAGAAGAAAGTGGGCTCAGAACCCGGATAGAAAGTTGGTTCTGATGACACAGGCCTGTAATCAAGGTGCAGGAGGCAGAGGCAGGAGGATCACAATTTTGAGGTCTGCCTGGACTGCAGAGGAAGTTCAAGGCTAATCTGGATAATTAGAGCATGTCTCAAAATTTTAAAATGAAAAAAAAAGGCTAGAAATGTAACCCAATAAATAATAGTGCCAGAATGGCCTTAGTATCAATCCCCAGTCTCTCTTCCTCCCTCCCTCCCTCCCTCCCTCCCTCCCTCTCTCTCTCCCTCCCTCTCTCTCTCTCTCTCACACACACATACACACACACATACACTCTTCCCTCTCTCTCTCACACATACACACACACTTTCTCTCCCTCCCTCTCTCTCCCTCCCTCTCTCCCTCCCTCTCTCTCTCTCACACACACATTCTCTCTCTCTCACACACACACGCTCCCTCTCTCTCTCTCACTCTCTCTCCCTCTCTCTCTCACATACACACACATTCTCTCTCCCTCCCTCTCTCTCTCTCCCCCTCTCTCTCACATACACATTCTCTCTCTCCCTCCCTCTCTCCCTCTCTCTCACACACATACACACACATTCTCTCTCCCTCCCTCTCTCCCTCCCTCTCTCTCTGTCTCTTTCTGTCTCTCTGTCTCTGTCTCTGTCTCTCTCTCTCCCCACAGGAAGGGGAGAAGGATAAAGAGCAAGAGCAAGGGGGACTGTTTCCTCAGGTTTTCAGGTTTGGGTGAGGTGAAAGCAGAGAGCGTACACTCCCAGTGGCATCTGCCCCTTGACCGGCATCCACTCTCTGGACTGATGTTTCTCCCTAGTGTTGCAGTTTACCTAACCCCGAGAGCTGTTTATCCATTCCTCTTATGTCAGGACTGAACTGAAGCCAGCACCCCTGTAGTCCTCCTACAGCCATCTAAATGGTATTCTCCACTGGGACAGGTCATGGAGGAACTGGTGGATGAAGGGTTAGTGAAAGCCCTGGGCATCTCCAACTTCAACCACTTCCAGATCGAAAGGCTCCTGAACAAGCCTGGACTGAAACATAAGCCAGTGACCAACCAGGTAAGTTCTGTTCCTCAAAGGGGTCCTGCTCTGTGACTGCTTCAAAACCGGGAGGCAAGTTCCGTACACTCCAATGAGTCTCATCTCTGAGGTCTGTGTTCAGGATGCTCAGTGAGGTGGGAGGCAGACCTGGGTCTGGTCTACAGCGCATCTATGGGTGGGTTGTTGTATTTGGCCTCTGCGTTGGTCGTTTCTTGTGTCTAGGGTTCCCTCTGAGCCACTCAGGAAGGACTGCTTCCCTCGTGATGAAAGTGACAGAGGTGTTTTCTCTTGCAGGTCGAGTGTCACCCGTACCTCACTCAGGAGAAACTGATCCAGTACTGTCACTCCAAGGGTATCACTGTCACAGCCTACAGCCCCCTGGGCTCTCCAGCTAGGCCTTGGTGAGGCTTCAGAGTGATGACTTTCTTTTATCACTCTTAAAATTAGTGTTTAAACATTGGTTAGTATTGGTATGAATTTCTTATGTACCTGGAAAAAGATGTGTCTATAGCAATATATCTGACACACCCAAATAGGATTATGGGGTGGGCCCAATGTTTTAACAGAAGACACCTCTTTTTTTTAAACACTTTTTTATTATATATATATATTTATTAAATATTATATATTTTATTATATATTTAAATTAGCAACAAACTTGCTTCCCATGTCAGTCCCAGTTTCCTCTCTCCCCCCATGTCCACTCCCTCCCCAAACCCCCATCCCCCCACCCATCCCCACTCCATTCCTCAGGGAGGGTGAGGCCCTCCATGGGGGATCTCTAGAGTCTGTCATTTCACCCCGGGAGGGCCCAGGCCCTCCCCCAAGTGCAAAATACACCTCTTAAGAGTGGCCTATGTCTGCTATTTAACGTTAGAGCCCACTTAACAAATTCCTGAGGTTCCAGAGCCTATGGAAGACAAAGCTTTCATGTGGCTACCCCACCTGTTCTGCAGTTGGAGAAGGCTGTGGGGTTTGCCCTAGAATCGGACTTATCCTATACATATATAACACTAATGAAGTCAATTCTGTATCATTAGGAATAGATTCACCCTAGCTATCTTTCTGCCTTTAGGGCCAAGCCAGAAGACCCTTCACTCCTAGAGGACCCCAAGATTAAAGAGATTGCTGCAAAGCACAAGAAAACCCCAGCCCAGGTAAAATATGGTGCCTCTTCCTGTTCAGTCCTGCAATCCTTTTTTTAAAAGACAGGGTTTCTCTGTGTGGCCCTGGCTGTCCTAGAACTCACTTTGTGTTCAAGGCTGGCCTTGAACTCAAGATCTGCCAGCCTCTGCCTCCTGAGTGCTGGGATTAAAGGCATGCATTTTTGTTTGTTTTTAATAGTCTCGCTTTATTTTTTGTATTGCCTTCTTTTAATCCCTTGGAGAGGAAGCAATGGAAAATGTAAGTCTATTGGCACCTTTGGGAAACACAGCTGGCAGTATCAAATGAGGACCACCTCTGTTCATCAGCTTCCTGCCAAGTCCTCACGAAATCATGGTGTTGCTTTCAGGATTAAGGGAGATAAAGGAGCGGTAGGGAGGAGCTGCAATGATAGTCCTTGTGTTAGTGACATTTCTCTGGCTGTGACAATATACCATGACAAAGGTGTCTCATAGAAAAGGGGTTTATGTGGAGTTTCCAGTGCCGGAGTGATAGGAGCCCACCACCATCATGGCAAGGAACCCGGCGGCAGTGGGGCAGGCACTGTGTCTTAGCAGCAGCTAAGGGCTCACATCTCAACCCCCAGAGAAGATGAGCGCGCACTGGGACGGACATAAGTCTTGAAACCTTAAGCCTTCAGTGACATACGTTCTCCAACAAGGGCATGCCCAGTCCTTCCCAAGCCATTCCACTAACTAGGGACCAAGTTTTCTAACAGCACCTTCACTTTTGTGCACAGGTCCTGATTCGGTTCCACATCCAGAGGAACGTGGTGGTGATCCCCAAGTCTGTGACACCAGCGCGTATACGTGAGAACTTCCAGGTAAGGCCCTGGCTGACCATCTGCTATGTGTGCATGGTGTGACTCCCAGTGGCTTCTCATCATGTCCTGCAGCGTTAGTGATGTCCCTAACTTCTCATCATCTTATGAACCCTTGGGCTAGGGAGCTGGCCTCAGCAGAGCTGAGATGAGTCACCAGTGAGTGATGAATGGTCTGAGGGCTCAGCCAGGGAAGCCCAGTCAGCTCTGAGCACAGGTGTGCCTCATGCATTGTGACCCTTGCTTTCCCAAGAGCCCTTAGATCAACGGCCATCGACTGTCCTGCCAAAGTGCAGGCTTCCCTTGGCCTACGCAGCAGACTTTTAGCTGGAGGATAGGTATTGAGACTGGACTTGAATAAATGTCCTTCTGGAAGGAACCCTGAAGGATTAGACACTGCAAAAACAAATGTTTGTGACACCGAATCCTATAAATAATTCAGTTTGTGTGCATCGTGAGCTTATGTATGTAGAGAAAAGCGCCTGCGGTGTCAGGCACCAGCCCTTTCCTTGCTAAGCAGCTTTGGGACTCTTGTCCCTTCCAGGTCTTTGACTTCCAGCTGAGTGACCAGGAGATGGCCACTATCCTCAGCTTCAACAGAAACTGGAGGGCCTGCCTGCTGCCTAGGTAAGTGGAGTGGGGTTATTAAATGAGCTTTTTGAAGTTGTAGAGGATTGGCTGGGAGGGTTGCAAGACATCCAGGATAACTCTTTACATTTATTTTTTTATATTCAAATACAATTTTCTGGAAGTTGTGAAAAAGTAAGGTTTGAGTCATGGGAAGTCATGCCTGCTAATTCTTACTTTTTCCCAGCCTTAGCTTGACTTGTTTCTAGCCAACTCTTCCAACTTAAATTATCCCATTTCTCTTTAGCTACATTTTGCCTCTGAGTTTTTTACCTTTCTTTATTCTGTATGTCTTTCTTTCCACCTAACTCCGTGGCTGGCTGTGTGGCTGGGTGATTGGTCACTGGTGTCCTCCCCTCCTCCTTTTCTCACTCCTCACTGTCTTCCCTAGATTTCTCCTCTTGTTTATTCTCTCTGTCTGCCAGCCCTGCCTGTTTCTCTCTCCTGCCTAGTTATTGGCCATTCAGCTCTTTCTTTATTAGACCAATCAGGTGTTTTAGGCAGGCAGAGTAACACAGTTTTACAGAGTTAAACAAATGCAACATAAAAGAATGCAACACAGGCCAGCCTGGTCTACAGAGTGAGCTCCAGGACAGCCAGGACTGATTCACAGAGAAACCCTGTCTTGAAAAAAAAACAACAGCAACAACAAAGAGAGAAAGAAAGAAAGGAAGGAAGGAAGAAAGAAAGAAAAAAGAAAAAAGGAGAATGCAATACATCTTGGCATCATTAAACAAATACTCCACAGCATAAGGAATGTGGCACATCCTAAGCTAGTGTTCTACAACACTGCTCCTTTGCAGGAGACAGAAGCACTTATTCGTTCAGTCCTTCACTTAATGGCTTATCTGCCATGTGCTATGTATGTGCTAGCGTGTTCCAAGTGTTTGACACATCACACTATACAAGCTGCATGTTTCCCAGTCTTGCATTCTAGCAACATCTGGAGTAGCTCTAAGTCTACCTGTCAGACAGTAACAAATGCCATAGAGACAAGTAAAACAGGTAAAAGATATGGGAGGTAGTGCATCCTGGTGGGGTGGCTTTATACGTGATGACTCAGGGGTGGCTTTGCTGATGCATCAAGTCACAGCTGAAAGAAGCAAAGGCAGCACCATGTGGCATTAAGAGGGCACTGTTCTTAGCATTGCAGCAGTGGGCACAAAGACCCTGAGGTAGTGGGTTTGCACTGAGGCCAGTGAAACTGTAGTAGATGAGTAAGGGCTATTGTGGGAAGACATGAACTCAGACATAACCTTAAAGCGAAGGGCATGCCGGTGGTATACACCACGAGGGCTTCAACTTTAGGATGGAAGGCGCTTGGAAGCCAGGAGGGGCTGTGAGCAGAACCTGGCATAATCTGACATGTCTGAAAAGTTCCGTGCTGATTTCTGCATTGAGAGACCACTGGCAGCCTACTATAAAAATTCAGGGAAGAGTGGGCAATAATTGCACCTGGCGTCCAATAGAAAATAGCAAATTGAATTTGCCAAAAAATGAAAAATATGGTTTTGCTTGCTTGGTTTTGTTTTAGCATGAGCAATTCAAGAACAGAATTGTCATTTAGAAGTGAAGGATTTAGCTTGAGACATGTTTGTGATGATGCCTTTTGATCATCAAATAGGTAGTGTGAAATAGTTACATAAGTGAGTAGAGGCAATAGATTGGTCCCTTCAGTCATTCAATAGCTATGAAGTCTTGGGTAGAATTGTAACTTTGCCAATTCGGGTTCCTTGTCTACAGAGTGGTGTAGAGAGAAACCTTTCCTTTGTCAGCCGCTTTGGTTTTTCCCCACCAGTCGCCTGGGCTCTGCTGCGTTGTAGTCCCCAAATAACACACAAGACGCTGTATTAATTATGAAGCTGTTGGCCTTGCTTGTTTCTTACTGGCTAGCTCTGACTTAAGTATTTAACCCATTTAAGTATTTTTCTTACTGGACGGACATCTTACTTCTCTGTCGGGCTACATGATGACTCCCTGTGTTTCTCCTACCCAGAGTCCTCCTCGATTCCTAGTCCTACCTATCTTGCTTCCCTATTGGCCAACAGTGCTTTATTGACATATACACAGGACTTCCCCATCAGAGTGGGAATGATAATACCAAATATAGCAAATATCCATGGAATACAAGTTTAGGATTTATCAGAGATCCTAGCTCATGGCTTATCTTTTTCATTAATTGTTGTTAATATATACATTCATATATACGTATGTACGTGCGTGTGTATGCGTGTGTGAGTGTATATGTGTGTGTGTGTGTACATATTCTTAAGAGATCAAGGAGGGGTATATCTCAATACATAAAAGAAATAATTAAAAAAATAAAACCTGGCCCAGTGCCACATGCCTTTAATCACAGTCCTATGCAGGGGGATCATGAGTTCAAAGTTGTTCTCCACCACATAGAGTTCAGAGTCAGCCTAGAGACATGGGACCCTGTCTAAAAATGCTGTTAGATGGCACTAACATTTTCTCCATGCTCGTTGCTGCAGCACAGTGAACATGGAAGAATATCCCTACAATGCAGAATACTGAAGGCAACCCTTAAGTCCTCATGCTGGTCCAGGGCAGACTGCGTTCAAGAAAATGTGACTCTGAGAAGCAATCGGACATTTCTTTCATTGATTTGATCTGACCGAATGTTTGTCAAAAAAATCAGGAACTCTGGTAACACTGGAGGACATAAGGGTAGAACAATACAAATTGCAACATTAATAAACATATCCAACACATCCTGAAGTGAGTTTTGAATGAGTGACTTGTTGGGTCCAGCTCTCCCCCTTCACATTTTACATGGCATGGCCAAGCCAAGAACTTGACTGCTTGAGGCCCCTGAGTAGTAAGTGGCTAGAACAGGTTCACAGGAAGGTGCTCTCAGGGAGAGCTCTAGGCGATTTGATGCGCCCATCCTTCCAAGCCTTCTTACCTCTTCTACTAGCCTGTGACTTGCTTGGCGCTTTCTTATCATTCCCCAACCTTGCCTTTAATACCCCATCGTGCCTAAGAGTTAGTGCCAGTGGGGGAAGAGTCTGAAATCCACAGAGGACATCACTGGGTAAGTGGGGAGACAGAACATGAAAAATCCTATTGCCATTAACCTGGGAAGAAGAACATCGAGGGTCCCTGGCTACCCATCCTTACAAACTCAAAGACGCCCATAGTGGGCTATGTTTGCTCCAAATGTTTTGAAAAGAGAAAAACATTCAAAAACCAAGTGGAAACCACGGGGTAGGAAACCTGTCGAGCTGTCGCCATCCCTGCTCCCCACAGTCAGTGTCAAGGCAGATTGCTGAGCTGCCTCATCTACTATTTGCCCTCAGGTCCTGCCCTTCTTCCCGTGTGCCTGGTGGTGACAGTGCGTGGACACCTATACATCCAGATGGCTTCCTCTGGGATTGCTTAGTGGGGACTCCCTTAGGGAGCTGAAGGGCTCAAAAACTAAATGTGTGGTTTTCAGAGGCTGCTTCCCATAGAAGACTGTGGAATACCAGCTCTTTCTTACAGCTTTGACCTTGACTCTGTCTCCTACCAGTTCATACAGCCTCTGGGATTAGGAGACGCCGTTTCGTTCATTAGCGTGGTCCTCCATCAAGTTACCAGAGAGCTTCCTTTTGAAGTTCTGGTGTTGTGCTCACGGACTCCCCTACTTTATCTTTACTTCTTCAGAGGTACTGCCATCTCTCTGACTTCTCATGATGCTCTTCTAGGAAAATCAGCCATTGGACTCATGACCCACCCTCACCAAGCATGCCATCATCACCACTACCATCATCGTTATGTTGTTTTGAGACAAGAGTCTCACTATGTAGCCTTGACTGTCCAAAAACTACATAGACCAGACTGACCTGAAACTTAGAGATTCATCTGCCTCTGCATTCTGAGTTCTGGGATTAAAGGTGTGGGCCATCACACCTGGGGATGATTCTCAGTGTAACTTATTCTGTTTGCAAAGGCCCTTTCTTCAAATAAGGCCATATTCTGAGGTCTGGGCAGAAATGGGCTTTTGGATCCCTATTTAGGCAATGTCTGAAACATTATTAATACTTTATTTAGTTACTTAGTCTGAGAATATAGTGTGGATATTTAAGAGATAATTTACTATTACATTCATTTGTTACCAAAGTGGCCAGATTACTATCTCTTGACATCATCTGAATTTTTTTTCTAGATGGAGTTTCTCTGTAACTTTTGAGCCTGTCCTAGAACTTGATCTGTAGACCAGGCTGGCCTTGAACTCAGAGATCCACCTATCTCTGCCTCCCAAGTTCTGGGACTAAAGGCATGCACCACCACTGCCCAGCTCCATCTGAACACATTTATACTTCATTTTTTTTCAGTAGCTTGTCTGCTTTTGTATTAATTCATTCTTCTGGCTCTCTGGACTCTGTAGTATCCTATGTACAGCATAGACTGTTAAAAGTTGGCAACTTTCCAGCAACATTTGTCCCAAGACAGATGTAGTCAGAATCTATGACCCTCCAATGATGTTCACTGTATGATCCCTTCCCTTGAGTGTAGGCAGACCTGTGAATATGATGAGATTATACTCATACAATATAATTGATGAACCAAAGGTTTTGGTTGATGTAATTGTCTCAACCTGGCTGAGTTTTAGATAGGAAGTCATCAGGGAAGGTATGACTTATCTGTGTCACTTCTGCTCATGAGACAATCACTTGTGTGGAATGTGACAGAGAATGAGAGAAATAAACTCATAATTCCTTTTCATTTCAGTAACCTAGACTCAATAATCAATAGCAGGACTTGTTAGTAGACTGGTTTCGTATCCAGAATCGAGATAAAAAACACGCTCACTGACTCTATTCTCTTCTGAGTCTTATAGTGTGTGACTCTGTGCTTGAGTTAAAGGTTTTATATTTACACTTTAAACAGGTGTTGCAAAATAACAGAGGCATACTAATAATGAAGCATCTTAATGCTTCTTCACTGAGAATGATAAGGAATAGAAAACAAAAACAGAGCCCACAAACAAGGAAAGAGGTTTTCAAACCGTCAGCAGCGCATTTTCCCTGTGCTGTCAGAGCTTCTTGGTTTCTCATTTTCCAGCTGTGGGCAAATCATGTAGCCAGCTCTGAGCCAGATTTCCTACTGTAAGAAAAGTCGACAGCTGTGAAAAGTTACAAAAATTAAAATATACCTTTTAGGACTGGACAGACATAAATTCTCGTTCAAACTACAGACTACATGTGTACCATTTTCCATTAGAAGAAACTAGAGTGTTGAGAAGCCAAGGCAGGATGATTGCTTCAATTTTAAGATCAGTAAATGATGGTCCCGCCTCTCAGACACAGGAGCCAGCTCAAATAGAGCATACACACAAATACCAGCATTAGTCAACAACAATCCAGTGAATGAAATGAAATTCAGGAGAGCACATGGAAATGAATAAACCACAAAGAAATGAGAAAACTTCCTCAAATATAGTGTCAAGAGAGGTGATCAAATAGAAAAGCCATGTTGTGACAACCATATTATCATTAATCCATTCAAGAAACATCAGTAAATATTTAAATTAGTAAGTAAATATTGGCCTTTTCACTTACTAGTTACTTATTAATTTTTTTTTCTGTGACACAGAGCCCTGGCTGTGAATTTGTAGACTAGACTGGCCTTGAACTTGTAGATCTGCCTGCCTCTGCCTCCTAAGTGCTGGGATTAAAGGCATGGACCACCACTGTCTGGCAATTCCTGCCTACTTAATCACTAAATGAAGAGGTAGCTTTAGGGTTGACAAATCCAATGGACTTTGAAGTGGGTGGTTCTTTGTACTACCACTTCCAAAAGCTATCTTCATCATTGGGAAATTGCCTGAGATATCATACCAACCTTGCTATGTCCTGTGATGTCATTCTGACTCTGTTTGCATGGCTTTAGTTTCCTGTCTGTAAGAGCCATGGCTCTCCTCCAAGGCAAGGGCTGCAGTCTCACAGGAGAGCTCGTAGGAGTCAAATTACCCACAAGACTAGCCTGTTCTCTGAGGACCACTTTTTTGGGTGTGAACTGCAAAATCATATTAGTAATGATGAGCTGGCATGGCGTCACAGGCCTTCATCCCAGCACTGAGGAGCCCCAGGCAGCAAGTTGCAGCAAGACCCAGGCTGGCTCTGGCAATCTAGTGACTCTCTTGTTCTTTCTGGCTCTGTCTCTCTGTCTCCCTCTAATAAAACACACATACACGCACACGTACAAAGGTGCCACACACATCACTCGCATGGTCTTTGGAATACAAGGCCTGTCATGTGTCCACTCAAGTACAGAGATAGGAGGAGGGACCTGTAAGTTGAAAGTCATGACTCTTCTGCATACCAGTACCCAGTTATGCCAGCACCATTTGTTGAAGATGCTTTCTTTTTTCCATTGTACAGTTTTAGCTTCTTTGTCAAAAATCAGGTGTTCATAGGTGTGTGGGTTAAAATTAGGACTTTCGATTCGGTTCCATTGGTCTACCTGCCTATTTTTGTGCCAATACCAAGCTGTTTTCAGGACTATAGCTCTATAATAGAGCTTGAAGTCAGGTATGGTGATGCCTCCTGAAATTCCTTTATTGTATAGGGATGTTTTGGCTATCCTGGGCCTTTTGTTTTTCCATATAAAGTTGATTAATGTTCTTTCCAGGTCCTTAAAGAATTGTGATGGAATTTTGATAGGGATTGCATTGAATCTATAGACTGCTTTTGGCAAGATTGCCATTTTTATTATGTTGATCCGACCAAACCAAGAGCATGGGAGATCTTTCCATTTTCTGGTATCTTCTTTGATTTCTTTCTTCAAAGACACAACGTTCTTGATATACAGGTCTTTCACTTCCTTGGTTAACATTATCCCCAGATATTTGATGCTGTTTTTGGCTATTGTAAAAGGTGATGTTTCTCTGATTTCTTTCTCAGTCACTTCATCATCTGTATATAATAGGGCCACTGATTTTTTTGAGTTTACCTTGTATCCTGCCACTTTGCTGAAGGTGTTTATCAGCTCTAGGAGTAACCTTGCAGAGTTTTTTGGGTCACTTATGTAAACTATCATATCATCTGCAAATAGTGAAAGTTTGACTTCTTCTTTTCCTATTTGTATCCCCTTTATCTCCTTTTGTTGTCTTATTGGTGTAGCTAGAACTTCAAGTACAATATTGAAGAGATATGGAGAGAGTGGACAGCCTTGTCTTGTTCCTGATTTTAGAGGAATTGCTTTGAGTTTCTCTCCATTTAGTTTGATGTTAGCTGTTGGTTTACTGTACATTGCTTTTATTATATTCAGGTACGTTCCTGTTATCCCTGATCTCTCTAGGACCTTTATCATGAAGGGGTGCTGGATTTTGTCAAAGGCTTTTTCAACATCTAGTGAGATGATCATGTGGTTTTTCTTTCGCAGATTGTTAATATGGTGGATGACATTGATAGATTTTCTAATGTTGAACCATCCCTGCATTCCTGGAATGAAGCCTACTTGATCATGGTGGATGATTTTTCTGATGTGTTCTTGAATCCGGTTTGCAAGTATTTTATTGAGTATTTTTGCATCGATGTTCATGAGGGAAACTGGTCTATAGTTCTCTTTCTTAGTTGTGTCTTTGTGTGGCTTGGGTATCAAGGTAATTGTAGCCTCGTAGAAAGAGTTTGGCAGTGAGCCTCCTGCTTCTATTGTGTGGAATACTTTGACGAGTATTGGAATGAGCTCTTCTTTGAATTTCTGGTAGAATTCTGCACTGAAGCCA